CCCCATCAGGAAGAGCCTGGTATTGCCACACCCCACAGTTGCAGCCCACCCCACCCCATGCACAGATCCAGGGGCACGTGCCCCCTCATGCCCTCCTGCAGTGCGCATAGTGGTGGGAGCCACCCCTGCCATGCAGTTCAGTCCCATGCCCCAGCCCCACTCCCTCCTCCGCCGCTGGAGCCTCAGTCTGCCCCCTCATACCCTTTTCCCCAAAACAGACCTACCAGTCAGATCCGGCTGCTCTCCACGTGGCCAGGCTGTGCTCCTCGCTGCCTACGTGTTGTGTTGCTGCTGCTGCATGCATGCACACAGCATTTATCAGCCACATCTGTTCCATGTACCCTCTACAACCTTTTTAAACACCCGTAGGGGTATGTGTACCCCTGGCTGATAACCACTGTAATAGCTAATTCAATTGGCTATTAGATGAAAGCTCCAGAAAAGCCCCGCTGAAGCAGGTGATCTATACAGATGTTGGGGAGCCAAAGCAGGTGATCTATACAGATATTGGGGAGCTGTATGAAATGGGTGTGGTTCCTTTTCCAGTAAAGTGCTGTTAGTTTGTTTTTATTTCCTCATCTGTCAGCAGCCTGCTTGCCCATTTAAATCCATGTAGGCCTCTGTATATGTACTCTAGGCTTGTTTATTTTTGGAGTTATTCTGGAATAGCACTGTGCTTTAATTTCACACTCTACTGTGTTAAGCTGACTTTCAAATGTAGACAAGCTTTCCGCCAAAAAAGTTGAAGCGTGTCCTGGTACACTCAAATCTATCTTAACTTTTGAACTCCATTTTTTTTCAGGCCTGACTGAACTCAGTGACAGTCCAGTTTCCCTGGAGCTGGAGCGCTGCAAGTCTCCTACATCAGGTAAAGGTGATTGGCATCTCTTTCTGCAGTCAGTATGAGCCATTCATGTCATGCATCACTGTGTTTCATTAATCCTTAGGAAGTGAAGTACATAGTCATTATGTTTAGATTTTGTTTGGAGGGAAAGAGCTTACTACATATACCAGAACAAAATGCCAAATCTGTGCATTTAAAGGAGAGTTCAATTTAGGATGTATGTGAGTAGAGAAGAGGATGAAAGCATCTGAACTGACAGTGACATGCAGGACCCTGTCCTTGTATGTCATATGGACCCATTTGAGGTTCTTGTTAGTCTTCAGGTTGTTAGAGAGTGCTTGCTAAGTTTGTTTATGGACTGAACCTGTTTAAAAAGAGAAGTTCTGTAATAGTTGTTTTTTTCAATTGTATGATAGTTTGAAACATTGTGATGTGGAGAACGGTAAGTTTTAACCACTGGGACCAGCCAATGGTTAAAGTGCTTCTAGAATTTTATTATAGAAACATCAAAGGAAAGCAAAGGACAAGGCCCTGTTTCCAGCAAACATTACCAAGATATCTAGTACTTTAACCTAGCTGAAATCAATGGCAAAACTCCCGTTGAATTCAGTAGGGTCCTGATTTACCCCTAGTCCTTAGGAAAGTGGGAATTAAGCCCTTTTTCCTAGCAATTTTCTTTGTGGTTGCCATATACAGAGGTTGCATTCCCTTCCTCTCCCCCTAAGTCTTTTGTCCCAGGATCCTACAGACATTCACACCTATTGTCCTGATTCAAGTACCTGTGAATTATGCCTGATAAAATGTGCTAACAGTTTTCCCCTGGGGCACTGCTGTGTACATCTGTAAGTTAATTGCGGTTCATTTAACTTAATTGCTGTTCATTCTAGGGAGGAGCCTATCAGGCTCTGTGTTTTCCCTGGCCACCTACTGGCAGAGGAGCAGCAATGTGGCTTTTAAGAGCTACCATATTTACTCAAAAGGAAGATGACCCTGATTATAAGATGACCCCCCCAATAATTAGATTCTAAATATGGAAAAATTATAAATTTGCTATAATTTTCCAGGTATATAATTTAACTATTGGAGGTTTGCTGGAATTTTTCCCCCTCCCACTGCTACAGCAGGGAAAATAAGTCTGAGGGGCCAGGTAGCAGTTTGCTTTCTCCTTCCCCAGATTTTCCCCTGGCAGCTCCTTCCCCCTCTCCTTACTGTCAGACCCTGCTCTCCCTGAGCAAATGGAAGTGAGAAGCAAATTTGAAAACAATAACCTTTAAATTAAACATGCCTGTAGCAATTTATGTATAGTACCCGTGCACTTAGTTTATCCAGAATTGATGCATGTTACCTATTTTTTTTAAACTGCTGCAAGCTTTAGCACAGGTACTCCATAAACACACTTTTGAGTAGCATTTTAGCAACTACTTATATATATTAGAGTGCAGCCCCCACTCTGGCAAGCAGCCCCCACTCTGAAGCACCTTCATGAGCCAGCCTGACCCTCCGGTATCTGCACATGCAGTGCTGTGGAGTTTTTTTTACTCTGCAGCAAGATAGCACTTGTATTTACAAATACTATCCTGAGGCAGAGCAAATTAGTTTACCCAGACTAATAGGTGTGGACATGTAGATGTTGAGATGTTTACTGTGCAGCTAATCAGTCAACTGTGCAGTAGATGTCTTATGTAGATGCACCCGATATGTGTTTGTACTCCAGAAACCTCCAGCAAAGAACCTATTTGCATATTAACCCCCACTCCTGACTGGAACCAAATTTTCTTCAAAAATTTGAGACTGAGGTACAGGGCACCCTGGTCTGGCTGCACCTGTTGGAAGGTAGGGCCATACTAATCCTATGTGCTAGGCTGAAAGAGGGGTTGACAGAGGGATTCTGGGTGAACTATATGCAATGTTGTGGCTCACCATGACTTGAAAATGAGTCAACGGTGAGGGGGACTATGCTTAATGGGCACTACCATAGGCATTTATACACATACTTTTCTGTTCCATGATGTGCTGGAGATCTTCAGCTTCAAAGCAGACTCAGTTAATCAAGCCTTCTCCGCATGCGAGCTGAGGTGAACTCTGCTGTGTTTTAGTTCAAAAGCATGTCACAGCCATTTTCTCAGTGCTGATGCACATTTATACAACTGCAAATGTTGCAGCTCCAGGTGCTTTTCCAAGTGCCTGGCACTGTGGTGCTTGAACACGTAAAAATACCCCATGTGTTCTATTCAGATGGGCTATACTAATCTATTCTTGTGGTATATGCCTATCATCATGTTTGCCTAATGTGGGCCATGTGTTTTACAGTCATGGACAGTGTTAGCTGCATTTAATCAGCTTCATACTTGGTTTCTATTACTGAGGACATGCTGCTTTGGGCAGCAGGTTTAATGATAGTATATTTAGTGAGATTTCTTTGTATGCAATTATAAAATGAGGGGCTTTTTTCCCTATGCCAATTGTGGGTGGGAAAGAGCTTCATCTTGTATTTGAATAAATACATATATGTGTAAAGGGCTGTACCATTCCTGCTTTGAAGAAGATAAAACAAAACCCAGGACAGTCAGAGCTGCCTCAAATGAAATGTGTTTATAACCTTAAAGGAGGAGTGCTTAGCACTGTTTTCTAGTAGCTGTTTTTTTTCAGTTTGGTGGAAATTTGTATCTGCAGCTCTAACCTAGTCATTTTGCTTCTGGTGCTGCAGATTGCACCTCTTTTCCATCCAATTGGTAAGTATTTTTAGCATTCTTATATTTTCCCTTTCTTCTATATTCATGCTGAGACAAACACCCACCCACATGCTCTTGAAACTTGTAGCTCACATATTTTTATTAGATTTCAAAGGAACATAGTCAAGTAGAGTTTGGCCCAATGATTATGCAATGTATAGTTTATTTGTGGAATTCATTGCCACTGGAAATGTGTAAAAGAGGTTCAATTCCAGGGTCAACTGTGATGCCCCGGGAGCCCCCTCAGCCCTAGTCAGCCTGGTTCTCTTTGGGCAATCTCCCCTTCTCCTCACCTGCCACACCTTGAAAAAATGATACTTTCAGAAAAGGGAGGCTGCCCCAGGACTTCCCAAGTTAGATCTCCTCACCAGCATCAGTATTGTTGCTACTTATTGCCTTAAGGGCTAATTACACTGGTTCTGTCCTCCCCAGTACCTTCGCCCATGCCTCACAGATATTGCCTATCCAATCAGTTTTCCTTGTTGGGACCTCACCCCACTCAGCCTCCATCCCTTCTCTCTTGCTGGGCCACGTAGCTCAGATCCACTGGGTTGGACCCAGCTTCTGGGTTCCAGCCCTGTCTCCACACTTCTGGGCTCCTGGGCCTCTGGCCACATCTCCACCTTTCTCCAAGCTACCAGGCCTTTCATCTTAGTCTTTGCCCTTCTGTGAGCAGGACATCTTGTCCTGGCTACACCCTTCTTGGTTTTAGAGCCCCTGGCCCTGTCTCTGTCCTTTGAGTGCACAGGGCTCCTTTCCCTTGGCTCCATCCTCTTAGGCGCTAGTACCCCCAGCCCTGTCTGGCTTCTGCCTGTACCTGGCTTCAGCTTCCCTCTCAGACTGCCTCTAGGCAGTACCCCAGCCTGAGCCTCCAGGGTCCTGAACTAAAACCCTAGCAAGGCTCAAAACACTGGTGTGCCCCAGGTGCCCTGCTTTGGGTTGGCCCACAATGTACCCCTCTGGTACTCTCCCCTTTTAGCCACTTCCAAACCACAACCAGTAGAACTTGTAACCAAGGAATAAGGCTTCAGGCTAACAAACTAAACCCTCTCTGGGTCCAAAGGTAAACATGGGCTACCTGCCTGCATAACAAGGCTTCCCCCTAACCCAGGTAATGTTCCTCTGTAGGGCAGCAGCACTGTTTGGCTTCCTTGAAATAGCCCAGGAACCAGCTAGAATCTCTTCTGCCTTCCCCCTGCTCTGCTGCACTTGTCTTGGCAGCCTCCCAAGCCAGATTGACTGTGTAGGCCCAGGCCCTGAGGTTACAGGCAACCCCTGCTTAATGCTCTTTCACTTAGCGCTATTTTGCTATAACACTCATTTGAAATTGATACTTGATTTTACTTAGCGCTCAGCGAGTTTCATTATAACACTCACGGTCGCCATCTTGGGTCATTAAAAACAATTGCAGTTGCCATCTTGGGTCGTCAAATACTTTTGGTTTCGCTTAACGCTCGGTTTTTCAGGAACCAATTAAGAGCACTAAGCGGGGGTTGCCTGTATACACACTAAGCCCTGGCCCCTTCCAGTAAGGTGACTCAGCAGCCATTACAGATGTCTTAATTCTGACCTAAGGCCCTGCCTACTCTCCTAGATTCATAGATGGTTAGGTTGGAAGGAACCTTAGCAGATCATCGAGTCAGACCCCCTGCCCTGGGCAGGACAGAGCACTGGGGTCAGATGACCCCAGCCAGGTGCAATGTCTAAACTCCAAAAATTTCTGAATGCCCAGAGCCATGGGGAATTCTGGGCCAACACCCAGCCTTGAGCTGACAACCTTCTGGCCTTGTACTCAATACAAACCCCGCTAAGCCAGAGAGCCATGCCAACCCACAAAGTTGGCCTGGTTGCAACTCTTAGCTCCTGAGCAGCCCGGCTGTCTATCCCTTGTGCCTGTTGCTGCTGGCTGCTGGCTATAACTCAACTAGCAGGTAGCTACTTTGGTAGCATCTAGCTTTCCCTGAACCAGCTCACCCTGCTGCAGTTTCCTCTAAAGTAACAGGAGCCTTCTGGCTCCCTGTTACAATGTGGTGGAGGCAGGTAGCATAACCAAGTTCAGAAAGGGACTAGATAAATTCATGAATGATAGATCTATTAATGGCTATTGAAAACAACAGTTGAAAATGTTTCCTCTGGCATCTCTAAGCCAATAATGGTGATGCCAGGGAAGGTATGGAATAGAGGATAAGATCACTTAAGAGATATCTGGTTCAATGCTCTCCCACTAGAGCAGGGGTCAGCCACAGGGCTGTGGCAGGCCAGTTGCCAGTCCGCAGACAGTCGGCTGCCAGA